GATCCCCGACATGTCCCTTGATAAGCAGGAGCAGACTCTCGTCCATCACCTTCATGTACACCAAAATATGAAGTCATCTCCAGTCGCAGCCTGACTGGAGAAGACCTTTGGAATTCATGTCACCTCCAAACAGCTGCGAAACTTCTAGTATGGAGTCACCCATGGATAGCTACCTGGAGACCAGTACTCTCGATCTGGATGACCTCCAACATCGAGCAGCTCCGACAACGTCGCCACGGTCTAGGACATCATCTTCACCACAGTCGCCAAGGCGCCAGTTGATGGTGGACGTACCTGGAATGGAAAGACCGATATTTTCTTCGTGGACCCCGGACTGAAGGTGAGCGCTGGCGGTTACATCGAGCAACTCGAGAAGAATATCCTCCCCACATGTCGTCGCCCGTACCTTCTTGGAAACTTTGTAGGGCGTTGAGTACCTGAAGAAGGTGGAATATCTAAGCAGGTCACCTGACCTAAACCCATCAATTACCTGGTTCGGGCGGAGTTCAATAGGGTGGTCTACAGTGGCGGAGAAATCAACGATCTCGCTGAACTCAGGCACCGAACCATGGTTGCGTGGCAGAATCTCTCGATGGCGGTGGTCCAGAAGGCTGTGGCGGAGCATCATGATAGTATTTAATATGCTCTTCAATATGGTAGTAAAAAGGTCCGATCAGAATTCAATAAAGTGTAACTTATAGCGCCTCGAAAGTCAAGGGAGAAAAGTGACTTTTTATTGCCCCCCTAGTAGGATTGTGTTGTGCAGCATGTGACAAGTTTGTATACTAGTACTTATAACGAAGAGCTCAGACAAGCATGGCTATTTTCTTGTCTGAAGTGCAATAGTTGTAGATTATTATTGGTTGAAAGGAAACTTGAAGATAGAATAAGCGATACACGCATAAACATTCACTTCAAACTGACCACTTTTATAACCAGATTCACCTTTTTGCAAACCAATTTCACCACTTTTCAAACCAGATTAACCATTTTTCGAAACAAAAGTTTTCGCAAACCAAATTCACCGCACTTTTCAGACCGAACAATTGGTCAGTCAGATCGCGCTGGACACCATCGCGAGCCCCGCCTCGGCGGCCACGCCTACTTGTCAGCACGGATCATAAATTTTTGAACTTTGTGCCATGACTCCTGCTTCTACGACTTTTTTGTTTTTGCTATTTCGCACATGCACTTCGACTGAAAAGAACTGGACATCGATACATGGCATCGGCCCATTTTACAAAGAGTTCGTAGCAAATGTCGAATTTTCACAGCATTTTTCAACTTTAGTAATTTCACATCCACTCTTTACAGAGCGGAGGTACGCATACACGCACAATCATGCACCGACACATTAGGCTACCTCCTGCGCCACGCATATTTTTGTGAAACTTTAATCTTTTGTCAGAATCCTCACATTTTTGTACCGCTACAGGAAGCTCCGCCCACCATGGAAAACTCCGCCAACTTTGTAGCAGCTCCATTTGAAAAATGATGCGGATTGGCAGTTTTGTGTGCAGGCGTGCCGAGGTCTCGCTCGTCGCTAGGAACAAACTTTGCCTGGCTTTTCATTCTAAACCCAGGGAAGTCGGCCAACTTACCATGCGAACTTTGAAATGGAGAACGCTAGGTGGATCGATAGAGTCTATAAGGCTATTAACAAGTATAGATAGCAAAACTACAACGTGCATAATATAAGCAACTTATCTTATGAGCAGGTAAAGTTTGTAATGGGGCAGTAGGATGGAGGCTTGGTGGTGAGCTGTGAAGCATAAGCGTGGAATCGCTATACGGCCATAATCAACCATGGCTGTGCCTGAGGGCGAGTACCGCTTGCCACCAGCACGCCATTTGCGCATGCGATTCCACCTATGCTTCCAGAGCCTACCACACAAGACCAAGCCTCCAACGATCTAGTGCACGCGTTACAGAAACTTTAAGCCTGCTCATAAGTTGCTTGCAGAGGGCACGGTGCACGTTGCAGTTTTGCTATCTATATTTGTTAACCTTATAGACTCTATCGATCACCCAGGTCTCCATTCAAAGTTCCATGGTAAGTTGGCGACCTTTCCTGGTGAGTGGCGAGCGAGACCTCAGCATGCTTGTTCTGCTCTAAACTGCCGATTCTAATCATTTTTGGAAAGTGGACGGGGCTTCTACATTCTTATGATGATCGGGGCTTCCGTGGCAGTCCAAAAAATGTGGGGATTCTAAGAAAGGCCAAAATTTCGCATAAAGATGCGAAGTGGGCGTAGCCAAGGGTTCGAGGTTTCATGTGCCGGTGCATAATTGTGCGTCTAAAAAAGTGGTTAAACTGACAAAGTTGTTATGAAAATTCGAAGTTTGCAACAAGACAAGAAATATCGCGCATTGTATGGTAAGTTGCGATCAGAATAGATAAAACCTCTAAGAGTGAAAATAAAGAAGAAATAATATAAGCTTAGAAGATTTTGTAAACCTAACATTGAAAAAGGTCAAAATACTAGGTTCTCATTTACGCTCTATTAAGTCACACAAAGATCCTTTAAAATCTCAGAT